CCAGAAGTTCTACAGTGATTCCTTCCTCCTACCTTCCCATACAGGACATGATAAGGTCACACTGATAGCTCCAATACCTGACCCAGTGCAGTGTCCCATGTCCATGGCACAACTCACTTCACCTCCTCATGGAGTTCACCCTGCCAAAGGAAGCAGAAATGCTCGCTATTTCTTACTCCTTTGGTGTTTTTCCCTCTTGTTATTCTACCAGGACCCAGGCAACAAAACTGACATGTCACTGGAGAATGATCCTGATTGCTGAAAATCCAGGGCAGTGTGGATAAGCAAGCCTCGGGGACATGTCTGAATTTCAGATTATAACAATTTTGCTTGGGTTCAGCTAATAGCTGCTTTACTGCAGCACACTTCCCGGCTAGACTTCAATCATTTATTACATGACAGGACGTATGAGTGCAGATCTACTTTGCATATACTATTACTTATCAAGAGCATTTAGTAATAAGACCCTCTGGGGAGTGCATTATGAAAGATTATGGACTAATTTGACCAAAGACATCCCTGAAGAATACTAGTGCTCTGGTGCAGAAGACATACATGACTGCTGTTACAGCCAAAGATGAGTCAAGGAAGACTAGTGAAAGGGTTAAAGCTTTCTGCTTTGGATTCTCTACAGTCTAAACTGGTCACTAATCCCTAATAATTTAATAATTTGCATTAATGTACTAGTGAGTCAATATGTGTTTTAGCCTATTGCACAAAATAGTCTGAAATGTTTCTTCTAAATCTGGTTCAATTTCATTTGTTAATGCTAAAACACCTTTATTTCATAATACACCAGTAGTGTAATTAATATTTCATGCTTATTACTTAGGCTCAGTCTCACAATAATCAACTGCCATAACCACCTTCCACAGGACTCTGGTTAGGGTGCTTAATCTTCCCTTTTGATGTATGTAGTGCACCTCTGCTTTGCAGTAGATTTACATCAAGCTGATTTGTTTCTATTATCACATATGAACCTTTATTGTAATTTGTAAATTTAAAAAAGAAAAATAAGTGTATCACCATCTCTTCAAATGTGGTGTTTACTTCCTCTCCATCTTGTCATGTTTTTCCTCTACACTTTATGCCTATGAGGCATGAAGTACAGAACAATATTCAAACAACCAAGTTTCTGAATTTAATCTAAATTAAGCCACACGTCCAGTTTGATAACAGATCACTGGAATGTAAGTATTCACACTTGGTAAATACTGCATGATTGTAATTACATACCTAAAAATCATAACATGATAGTGTTAACTGATGCTTCATAACAGATTTTTCTACCATTCTATAGATAGAATACATCTGATATAAGTGATTGCTCTGTTTGGCTTAGGCTAGAAATTAAAGGCCAATCTTTCAAACTATTTCGTCCTGTTATAAATGTTTCTACTGAGAAAATTGGGAACTTTCTTTCTCATTTGGAGATTTTTGAATTCAAGCCATAGAGCTAATAAATATGTCTTGAATTCACTTATTTTCTGGAAATGCCAACTTGGTTTGTACTGCAACACATCACCACTGAATGGCTTGTGACTTCTGGAAGTGGCTAAACTTCAAAGGACTCTTCTATAGCAAGAATCATCAGTGAATTTTTTTCTGAGTCCTTTTAAATAGTGTTTCCAACTGCAACTGAAGAAGAAAACCATGGTTGGAAATGTGTCATTCATGTTCCCAAGCACTTTGATATAGCTGGATAAAACAAAAATATATTCAGATTTAGTTCCAAGTCTAAGACTGAATAAAATCACCTTTCTGGAGTCCAGGAGCATCATTTAAACCTTCTCTTCTGGGAAAGAGCTGGCCATCAGCATGTCCCCCTTTTACAGGAATCAACTCTGAAAACTAGGCTATGCTTTCCTTACTGCCACCAGCAAATCTGGGGCATCTTTCCACCAGGATAAACTTGAAGCCAACAGGGCCTGTGCACATCCACGGAGAGCCTGAAACCCTCCGAGAGCATGTGGCAAAGTGCAACGGCACAGCAACTACGCCGGCTGCCTCAGCCACTTCCACGGAAGCCCTGTACTGCCGAGCGTTAGCATCCCGCTCTCCTCCGCAGCAGGAGGATCCCTGCTGACTTTATATCAAGAGATGCAGTCCTTTTAATGTTAAACAGACACGGGGGGGGGCAGGTAAAGATGGAGGGAGTGAGAGGGGAAAAAAAGGAAAAAAATAAAAGATTGTTAAATTCGTGAGTTTCTGTGCCTAAGGCGGATCAGCTTCACTCTAAAAATATCCCAGTTCGGACATAGTGTGGACAGAGCCCTCATACCTCAGGAATCAAGTCAGACAGCCCAGCTGAATGTACACAAATTCCTCCTTTTCTTCAGCAAGGCAGCCAGCGGTTCTGCTGGCATACTGTGGAAAAAATTGAGAAGATCCCACCTAAGCATAGCTTTTTCTGCATAGCTACATATTCAATTGACTCTGTGCACAGTTTACAGTGAGGGGGTGAGAAGCCTGTGGTTTCAGTCACTGCTTTCATCAAATGTGAATTTTTTTCAAATGCAAAAGCCTGTAAAAGGAGGCTTAAAGCTTGTTTACTGGAATCAGTATTGCAAAACCCTAATCACACCAACATTCATGGAAAATAATGTGAATTTTTTTAGAAAAAAACAAATTCATAGTCACTGAAATTACCCCCTTATATTTTGCTGTTATTTACTTAGCAATAGACTTGACCTGGCCTTCCACACATAAATGGAAGAAAAATCGTTGATCTAATGGCATAAAAATGTCTCCATTAATATGAAAACCTAAATATACCGATGTGGAGCATTTTGAAGATAGTTTTATCCTACTGAATCTTGTTATCCAAATGGAGAAATGTCAGCAGCGTATTAAGCAGACAGGAAAACTGGAAGACTCATTAAGCTGCATTTAAACTATGAGAACATGCAAAATTGAATATTTTCCAGGATCGTTAAAATAAAACTTAATTACAGAATTCAGGTTTATCTGTGTCATCCAATGTCACAATACTTCAAGACAGATGATGAGGGGAAAATGTAAAAAATCCTCAACAACTGCATTTAGCGTCACAGCAGCATCTGCATTATTCATCATCAGTTGTGCAATGACAGATCCAAAATAATTAGTATTACTCACGTTAAGTTATGCAATTCCCCCGTCTAAAAGAGAAGCTGTAAAGAAATGCAAACTAATTATAAGCCAGTCACATGCTCTGCTGCTGCTCTATAGCCACCTCAGACAGACACTGCTGAGAGTGCCATCCTGGTGCCTGTGCTGGCTGGAAAGCTACAACAGACCACATCTACAGTTTTGAGTAAAGAGGAGGCACAAACCTCACTATTACCATACAGTCACCAAAAAATGGAGCTATAAAAACAGACTTTGGGGATTAAAAATTCAGGTGTGTACCTTACAGCTTAGTCAAACCTCTGAACTTACATTAAAAAAAAAAAAAAAGAAAACAAGAAATTAGAATGTCTTTCTTCTTCAATAGCCAAACCTCAAACACACAGCATCTACCTTAGAATAAGACAGTTCACTATACGCATTTCTTTTCCTTCTAAAGACAACAATGTGTACCCATTCCTACTAGTTAATGAATCCATCCAACACAGCAGATCAGTGCCGGTCACCAAAAAGATCATCACTGGCCATGTGGGAGTCCAGGGAAACCCCAGGGCAGGCAAAAGCTCCCACTCAGCCTCTGAATTACCTGACATCATTCGGCACTGCCAGATTCAGACCCCAGAGCAAGGACAGCCTCGCCATAACCCTGTCATTTCACAAAGGCTGAGAGAAGGGGATAGAGGAAGAAATCCAATACAGGGTTGGGAGGTTTATCCAGCAGGAAAATAGGGAAAGACTCAAGATGGGTCTGTGAGAGCTGCATTGTGCAGTTCACAGCAGACAGAAATTTGTGACAAGAGGTAAGAAAAAGTACATACATTCTAAGAGTTTAGTTGCTTTTCCCCCCTTACAGAGTATGATTTTTTTCCTGCTAATTTTCCTTCAGCTGTCACAGACATGAAATTTTACTCACATCTTATCAGGAAGACAGATTTCTGTTTCATCTTGAGATACAAGCCCTGAGGCATTATTGAATGGGTTTTCCCGGAGAAAGAATTTACCTGAGGCAAAACTGCTCTGCTTGTACTTCGTAAAGGAAAATATTGGTTTACCACTGCAAAACACACACCTGTGGAACATACACAGACATGCTCCACATAAAGACCTGGATTTCAGGGTGGAGACAGACAGAACACAAGACACTTTAACAGAGACAAAAGGAAACAATACCTAAAATTAGAACTGATTCTGTGATTGGTAAATAGGATATTCCCCTTTTTCCCAAACTCAGGGCAAATAAGGCCATTATGCAAACTTTGTAATATAAGTAACAGCATTTCTTATATTGAATCACATCTAACAGTAGATAGAAAGAAAACAGACTATTTTCCACACATCTTCATACACAAGTAGTATGTATCGTCACTCATGGCAACATGTATAACATTCATCGACATCCCCATTTTCCCCACCACATCATCTTATTGCAACCCAAAAGTGTGCTGGGATGTACTCAAGGACTTTGTCCCTCTGCCTCAGATCAGATGAAGTGAGAACTTTATTTGTACTGGCTTCCACAGAACATGCTTGAGAAGAAAATAGTTTGTTTAAATTTGGGAGGATTTAGATGATGGTATGTCAACTTGAATTTGTATTTTGATATTTATGATAAAACAAGGATTCTTTTTTCTTTTCAGGTGCATTTTTCTGCCCTCCCCAGTTTTAACCACAGTTAACCAATGGATTACTTTCCCTCCTCATTCTTCCTTTGTTCTCCTCTCCACCTGCCAACATAAACTTCTTAACATGAGATTTTTCCCATAAGATAATGTATATTTAAGTTCCCTTATTCTGAGCTTTCATAACAACAGCCTAGGATGGAGCCCCATTAACTGTGGTATCTCTACAAGCACCTCTGTCTAAAAAGATAGTTGTCATTTACTTTTACTTACTGTCCATATCGAGCCAAAGGTAGAATGACCACTAAGGTAACATGAGAGTTAGAAAGAGATTTGTGTTGAGTTCAGCAGAGTTTGGATCCCTCCTCTGTAAGGAATTGCAAGAGCCTATAGCAGAATTTTGATGAATCTTCAATATCTGAAAGCCCATATAACTGGATTCATCCTGGTTTATTTTTCCCTCAAGTTTCAAAGAAGAAAAATGAATAATTGAACACAGGAAGCAAAAATCAATCAGCGCACCCAACCAAATAGAAAAAGGCAGTAAAAGTTCCTCAAATACAGAACAGAAGCTATGAGAAATAACCACAAAATACACTGTCTTGATGCGCAGCTCTCTTATTTATTGGAAAGACAGAAAGAAGCTGGTTTCACTCAGAAGGAGGCAAAAAAGGCTGTCAGTCAAAACCTGGCACATACCACGGCAGCTAAACACAGAGCTCATTAGGCGTGCGCGCCTGCACATTCCTGGTGCCTTTACCTACCCGTGCCAGCTGAGACTGTTCAAGGCTGCAAATGGTTGTAGCAAGATACTCTAAAAATCTGATAAATGCTTAAAGGGATCTGCTTTTCCATAGGTGATGTGTTTTCTGTAAAGTAGGTTCCTACAGAGCACCTGAATTAAGGTTCATCAAAACTAAAACACTCTGTATGAGAAACACACTTCGTAAAAAAATCTGATGTATTTGGTCAGCAAACAACTGGGGAAAATCAAATTCCTGTATGACCAAGATGACAAAAATGTTAAAAGGAATTGTTCCAGTAAAGGTTATTTTATGTGTTTTAACAAGGAAAAAACACCAGTCACTTGAAAATAAACTCTGATATCTCAGCTTTGCACTAGCTCAACATTTGTCACTTCAACTCTGCCCCGTCGGCATGTTGAGCTACGAAGGGACATCAGGCATAGCTGTGCCCTAGGAGCTCACTGCTTGTAGAGGAACAGCAGTGAGAGATTGAGAAAGCAGGTTTCATTGAGAGAGAAGAAAAAGAAAAGAAAGGGGAAAAAAAAAAAAACAACCAAAAAAACAAAACAAAACACAACACAACCCCCGCACCAAAAACCACAAAGAAATACTGACTTTATAGAGAAAAATTCTGATCTTATACCAAGATGTGCAGTAAACAAGGCTCTGTGATAAAAAACAGCAAAGAGAACAAAGGAAGATGGAGAGACAGACAGATACAAAATACTGACTACAGTCCATGCATCAACAGGTCACAAATAATTCCCCAAAGTGATCTGATACATCACTGTAATACCCAAGCCCTTGCCTCAGGCACCATAAACAGCACAAGGGGACAAGAAGACATTTCACTCATGCTCCTTTCTGGTGACCCCAGTCATTAACCAGCCATTTGACACCCAAAACCTGCTTTAGGTCAGCTTTTAATCAATTCAGAAATTTCAAACCTTCTGAGGGGTAGTCTCGGTGCTCCTCCACCTCCTCACCACTCCAGATGGCTGCAGGTGTCCCTGATGGACCACGTCCCCTTTCCAGGTTGATGCCACCTCCCTTCCTGCTACCTCACCAGCACCCCAGCAATGGGCTGCGGCTGCAGCACCGGCTCTGCAACACAGAGGAGCTTCTACGAGAAATCATGACTGTTTCAGAGAATTTAACCTGAAATGCTCTGCAGATGCAATGAATGGCCATTTAAGTAGTGAGTCATCTTTTCTCAGATCCTTTTAAGGAACGTAGCTGGCACATTTTCAAGGCATATTTCCTAATACTTAGTTTTGCAATTTGCAGGGTGATACATCCCGGAGCTGGAAATATGGATCATATGGCAGAAGAACCACATTTGTCAAGGGGAAAGCGTTTAGCACTGTATTTTTCTGTATGTGGTACTTTCAAAGCCTGATCTTAAAATATCTGGGTTTGTCCTTCTGTCCTCTACTCAATTAACTCTTCTTTTATAAGAAATCAGCTGAACTTAGCCAAGAAAGATTTTAAATTCTATCTTCCATTACAGCTGCACAAATTATGTTTTAATTTTTTTTAAATTGCATTCCCAAACTCAGCTCATTTCTGTCTTTGACTATCATAGTAATCTCAAGCTTTTCCAATGCTTTTCTTTTTTGTAATTACCAGCATCCTATCACCTACATCTGCACTCACTTTCTAGGAAGGTTTCTGTTAAGATCAGATTCAAACTGGGACAGTTGGCCTACTAATAAATTTTATACAGCCAGACTACTGAAAATACCTTGAGTCTCTGTGTAACATCTAAGTAACTAAATCTACTCAAGTACGATCACTTCCTACAAGCATGTCCCAAGCTATGATGGCCTCAAACACAGTTTCTCTTAGACCAGTATGAAAGGACCTTCTACATGTGCGTTTTTCTACAATGACTGCATCCAGGCTGCAAATCTGTATTACCAGGTAATCTGTAAATCTGTATGACCAGGTTCCTTCCAGAGAGGTCTCAGGATTCACCAGAAGACCCTCTACCAATTTATGAGATGTGGCACCTTTTATTTTTAATTCAATTTTCAAGCAGTAAATTATTTTCGATTGTTCTAAATTCTCTAACGGATGTCAGCGTGCACCTGCCTTTGATACGTCAACAAATTGCTGTCTCTCTGCAACTGACTGTTGAGATAATGCCTGTAAGTATTTTTAGCCCTCTTTTCAAATAGGCAATGGGTTGCAGATGGGTCATAGTGGCAGACCTAAAGACTAAAAAAAGCCCAACTGAGTCAGAGAAATCTGACAATTCATCTAAAACCAAGGATTTTATCACCAGAAATAAGAAGAAAAAGGATTGTGTCTCATGCTTTGTTCTAAAACAAGCAAATGATATTATCTATTGTATCTAGATCACTGATTTGCACCACAAAGCAAGGAAATTAAAAATCACCTACATAGAAACAGTAAAAAAAAAAAAAACAATTCATAATACTTTACTAAGTGATATCCTTGTGTTATCATTACTTGTCAATGACATGAGGTATGCTAATTAGTCCCGAAGTCTGAAGACATTAACACCAAAATAATATTCCTACATAATCACACAGTAATGGCGCAGGGATTAACACCTCGTTAGTCCATAAGAAGCAGGGTGCTAACCTGTGCTTGGATGTCATAGCTCACTACCTGGTCATGTAAAATACAATACTTCTTGTTTATATAGAGAGATATACATATATGATATGTATAGGACACTTTAACTCACATCAAGAAGATGAATCAATGGCATTAATTAGATATTTCATCACTGAAAAACTCTATTCTTTGCAGGTCTACCAGTGTATAGTAAAATGCTCTTACCCTTTCACACATGCACAGAAAAAGTCCTAAATAGATCCAATTCCTTTAACCTTTCATCTAAACTATTATTCTCTACTTCTTACTGTTTTCACAGAACCATGATCCTTTTCTGGATATATTTCTTATCAAGTGATGGCACAAAATTCATTTGCTGCCTCGTGGCACAATCATTCTTCCATCAACAGCATCTGGACTATGGCTGTTGACTCCTATGGGATCTGGTGCGGCACTTTCCCATCAGAGAGCATTAACTGGCAGGTCACTTGTTTTTCAAGTATGAGAATGACTTTGAACAAAAAATTGGAGTGAAGAGGAACTGAAGCTCAAGCTAATCCTAATACCAAGCAACCTTTTCTCACTGATTTTTAATACTTTCTACAAGAAGGAAAAATAAAGTTTCAGGTTTGGACATTGCCAACAAACCACAGGGAGTCCAAAGGCTACAGCTCACAATGGCAGCTTCAAAAAGTATGTCAAAAGCATTAGCAGTTCAGAGGGCGACAAATGACTATGTTTGTATTCAAGCCCATTTGCTAAAGAAAGCATTTAATAATAAGCAGCATCAAGAGCGGGTCTCAGTTTTCCTTACTTGCAAAGCATGCAACACGAAAAAAGTTTGGCAAATGCTTTTATCACTGTTTCAATTCTTCCACGAGTGCCTTGCCACCACTAACACCATGAAGTCTTTGATAAAGCCAATGCTTCCAAAAATGCTGTTTTAAAATGTTAAATGCCTCGACTATGACCTTGAGAACATCAGGATGAAGTTATCATAGAGTCAATGGATGCCAGGCTTTGAGTTTTGCTGAAAACTGCTCAGCTAGCCAAACTCCCGCCCAGCAGCCCCCAGCTCTCCTCCAGCTCCCCCCAGGGAAGGTGCATTGCCCCCTATCAGCAGGGGCTGACCCTGTCCTCACCTACCAGCCCTGGGGACAGGACAGGAGCACCCCAGGGCTGTTGGGGGATCCTGTGTACACGCCCCGTCCCTGGGAATTCACCCACACTGCTTGCATATAAAAACTCAAGCATAAGTCCTTCAGAGAGAAATGAAAATCCTGTGTAATGAGCAGGGGTTTGGCAAAAATTCTGCATCTTTATTTGGGGGATAAAGATTATAATGTTGAAATAGATTGGTTTGATGAGAACTTCTTTTTTTCTTGGCAAAGGAAAAAATGCCATTTTCTGGGACAGCCTGTTGAGGAAAAGAGGCTTTTGCACTTGTGCAGCCTCACCCATTTATCCAAACCCCTCAATCGCTGGCAAATGGGGAAGTTTCAAATGAAAGTGACTCCACTGAGAAAAAAAACATCATAAATTCTGATTGAGAGCAGCTGATCAGCAAATCCCAATATATTTACTGGCAATCCAGTCAGCGCGTACATAACATAGGCTGTGAGTAACCCAGTATTATCTCCTGCCTGCTGGGGAAGACAGAAAATGCACAAGCACTGCCCCGTGCAGAGCAATTGGGAATATAAGTCAGTAGGAAACTAAGCCAGGGGGTTAGGTTTACACGTTACAGAATATCCTGTTTTATAAGAAAGGTTTGATTTTTAATTACCTGGAGAGAATTACTTTCCCTGTTATTTTGTGCTATATGGGTATTAGTAACTTTTTACGTAAATCTGAATTTTAGAAATGTAAACCAAAGTTGGTTAATGAAAACAACCACCCTGTAGGGACACAGCAGTTCAACAGCCAATAAAAAGACCTTTTGCATCTTTAATTTGCATGATTTCATGATACCGACTTCATAAAAATTAAGAAAGTTATTTCTCTAATGGAGGCATGAAGCATCCTTGAAAAGGTCAATCCTTCCTCCAAAACTAGTTTGCCTGGAACCACTGCACAGCAACAAAAACTTACTCAAATTTGAAACTAAATCATTAACCAGAAAGCACTCAGTGGGAAAGCACTTCTTGCCCAATGTAAGAGGTTTCATAGCCATCACGTCTGTAGCCTGCCATTTGTTCATTAATTTTCAAATGAGGGATGTTGAGCATAGACAGTGTCCCTTTGTCTTCCAGCGTGGCACACTGAGG